AAAAAAAAAAAAAAGAATGTGTCTTAGTAAAACATCCAGGGCAAGAGATTCACTTATTAAGAGGAAGAAACCTATCAGGAGTGGGTGGGGGAGACAGGCAATGGTTTCGTTTTGGGGTTTGGGTGGGGTGTTGGTGGACAAAAGGTTGGAGGCCAGCGTGCACTCAGAAACACCTCAGGAAAAAGGCCTGGCTATTCTCCATCTAAAATAGCAGCCACTGAAAACTGTATGGAGCATAATTCTACACTGACACGTGAGGTCACCATGAGTCGGAATCAGCTCAATGACTACTGTACTTATATATACATAGTATGTATACATAGATGGTCATATACAACACTAGTTAGAGATTGATCATTTGTTATATAAAACTTGATTCACTGACTCTCAAGATCCAAAGGAGATAAAACTGTGGATATTAAGTAACCTGTGAAACCCGTTTGTAAAATGATGAAGAACTTCAGTGAAATCTTATCAGTTTCTTCTTTCCATCTGCTAAAAATCCTGCAAGTTCCTAACAAGTACCTTCAGTATTAGGACCTGGCCAGCCTTTCCTTCAGGGTGGAATTCTTACTAATTTTTCTAGTTGAGATTTAATAGCACTGAAACCTAGACACCAGTGTAAAGAGACGTGGCCACCTGTGGCCTGCCAACCTCACAAAGGACTTCCTCCCAGAAGCAGAGGGGGAAGCCCTCTGAAGCCCTGTGATGGCCACATAGCAGCAAGCAGCCGTTCCAAGTCAGCAGAAACCCGAGCAGCCTGAGCTGAGGCCACTCTTGGACAAGCCACGGAAATCAGAGTTCTGCGAGGACGGAGAAGGACCACAGTCCAAAAAACAAACAAAACAGCAAAGATTGTCCTTAGTATAAGATGTTTTTTTAAAATATACTACACTTACAAAATCAAGCTTATGCCTTACCAAAGGCTGGGTATCGACAACAAAAAACTAAAACAGACCATCCAGAACTCAACTCTTTTCTAGATTACGCAATTATCCTACTACCCACCAAAAATGACTTGTAGTGACTAGCCAGCCTATCGCTATTAAAACTCTTTGGAATCCAGCAGCCCAACTCACCAAAGTAATATAATTTGCTGCAAGCTACTTAATCCATGGTTTGGTATTCTCATCAAATTAAGGTTTGCACTGATTTGAGTGAGGGCATGGGGGGTGGGGGATGAATTAAGTAGCCCCAAAGTCGGATGCTGTGCCACATACATCGTTGAATAGTTTCCTGTACACTGTTAAGTTCTGAAGCTACAAGACAGTATGAGGAAGTGTACATCTCAAGCATCAAATGTTACAGGGAAAAAAGGTTCACAATCCCTAAAGCTTCATAAGCGAAGTTCTTTAAAAACAAGTCATAAGCTAAGGAATCAAAGAGCAATAAGCTCTGTGTTCTACATCATATCTTTCCACAGACTGGAGCTAAACAGTAAGCAAAGGATTCTTACCAGGCAATACAACACAGTAGTGGAGGTTAAATTCCAAAGGTGCTACTACTTACTATCTGACTGACCTTCAGCAACTTAATTAAACACTCTGCATGCATATCCTCCTACAAGGATTAGGTGGTGTTTAAGGAGATCTGTTGGTGTAGTGGATAATGCATTGGGCTGCTTACAGAAATATCAGCAGTTCAAAACCACCAGGCACTTTGGAAGGGTGAGAATCACAGTCACGGAAACCCTCAAGAGCACTGCTACCCCCTATAGGGTCTAGAAGTCAGAGCTGACTCAAGAGCGGAGAGTTTTTGAGAGCTGGTGGTTACGGGAGTGAACAGATCATAGAAGGCACCTAGAAGAATGCCAGGCACAGAAGAGTTAAGCTAACAGTGCTTGGGCTGCTCATCTGCGTGGGGAGTCAGTGGCCTCTAAACTACCCTAGCAAAGGGAACCTTCTTCCGGCACTGAAATTTCTGGATCAGAAATGTGAGAAAGACAACTGTGCACACAACTCCACCTTCCAAATCCTTTCCCCTCACACACAAAACAGTATAGACACAGGGCCCTTTCCTCCAACCAGCTGCTGTCATTTTCCATCATCTGTGTTACACTTGAAGCAGAACTTCAGCCTCTTGATGAGGAACAGGAGATATTAAAATATTGGAATTAACTGTGCCTAAGATTTCCCAGCAACTGGATGAGTCACCACTTTCTCTTGAAACAGGCTAAAATGTCAAGGTTGCCAGAGAACCTAGGCCCAGATGTTTTCATAAATCACTTCCAAGCGATCCTCATGCCAAAGCCAAGGGGACATTATTCAATATAACACTTTGCATAAAACACATCAGCCTTTATGATTTTCCTGTAAAGGTGAAAATTCTGACAATTGAGGTTACTGGGAGAGAGAAAAAAATCACAATAACTTTAACCCCCCAAATTACACATCTGCGTGGGGAGTCAGTGGCCTCTAAACTACCCTAGCAAAGGGAACTTTCTTCAGGCTGAAATTTCTGGATCAGAAATGTGAGAAAGACAACTGTGCACACAACTAACTCCACCTTCCAAATCCTTCCCCCTCGCACACAAAACAGCACACACATCACAGCTCAGACCTCTACTTTTGCACTGGCTTCAAAGGGTTTATTTACCCTTCTATGAACTGTCCTCTCCAACTGCACATACACTGCAACACTAACTAGCGCCTATCTCACAATGTTTTCTCCACCCTAACGCTACCTGAGTGAAGCAGACACATCTAAAATTTTAATACATCTGTTTATTACAAGATCTTCATTGTCACAGCAAAACTTTGCTCTGTATTGATCTGGGACAGCAGCCATAAAAGAAATAAACACTCTCTGATTACACATGTAAAGTTTGTAGTTGAATTTCAATTAAATTCCAGCCACCTGCCCTAACGTACAAAAAGAAATCGCAAGGATATTCCTAGAGCATTTAAATTGTCACAAAAGGTAGGGGGTGGGGGAAATCTTCAAGTTGTTCGTGTCCTCCGTTTCTCTGTCTCTGAATCATGTAAGCAGTTTTAAGATCACTCTGTCAAGGCATTCAGTTCTACAGGTTCATTCATTACAGGAGATAAACACAAAGTCCCATTATATTTGTTATTTGCAAGTAACCTGGAACTGAACTCGCACACGCGGTGCAGTCCAAACAGAACCGGCTGTGTCCATCTTGCTTATTTTAAGCCACTTTAAGTAAGATTTACGACGGATCGATTTCTCAACGCATAAGTCAATGTGGCCACTGTGCACAGCACTGAGCGCCCCACAGCTTCCGGCAGGAGTATAACACGCGCTTCCCCGCTCACCACGTCTGCTAACTACAAACCCGAGGTACCAGCTCCAGAATGACGACACTGCAGCCAACCCTACAGACTTACACCTCTCGGGTCCGCGCCGCAGGAAGACAACTTTTGTTTCTTTCTCAAAAGACCGCGGGAGGAGGGGACACGCCCAAGTTGGACGTTTGCTGTATTTCCTCCCTCCAGGTGCGCACGGCGAGCCTGGGCTCCAGGAGGCAGCTTCCCCCGGCGTGAGCCTGGGGGCGACAACCAGGGCGATCCCGGCGCTGGCTGGAGGCGCCTCTCGCCACGCGCGACCCCCGGCCAGCAGGTGCCCGAGGCCACCCCGACAGGCCCGGGTGCTGACACGGGAAGGCGGCCACTTCCCCAGGGCGCAAGCCCTCCGCGCCACCAAGCTTGCACTTAGTTAAGTCGGCGCGCCCAGGAAGAGGAGGTTCCCGGGCGCCAGGGCTGCGAGAGAGAATCCTCCTCCACTTTGGCCTCGAGATCCCCCGGAGCCGAGCCGCGGCGAGAGGGGGGTCGAGCAGCCGCGCCCCGGCTCCCTGCCCCGCGCGCCTCAGCAAGGCAGGGCTTACCTGGGGAAAGGAGCCCTCGCGGCGCGGGCTCTTGGGGTAGTCCAAGTGGCCCCGGTCCAGCATCAGGTAGAGCGAGAAAATCACCACGCAGAAGATCGCGCTGCCGAACACGGTGAACTGGCGACTTAACTTCATTCTCCTGGAGAGACTCGGGGCCCGGACAGTCCGCGAGCGGGCCCCGAACCGACCGGACTCCTGGAAACGACCGCCGGAGGCTCCCTCCTCCCCGGCCACTCGCCCTCCGGAGCTCTCGCCGGCCGGGCCGGGCCGAGCCCCGCAGCTCGTCTTCGGCGCCCCCACGCGCCCTCGGCCTTAGCCCCAGCCCGCTCCCCTTCGTGGGGGCGGCCGAGCCTCGAGCAGGACCCGTCGGCAGCTGCGCACGAGCCCTGCGAACTTGATCGAGAGTCCAGCGCCCAGCGCCGGCGGCGCGCTCGGGGCAAGCTGAGGAGAGGTCGCCACCCGGATTTCCTGCCTCCGCCGCCCGGCCGAGACGGCAGGAAAAGTTTTCTCGACCAGGGCAGACGTGGCCACGTCCAGAGAAGGCGCGGGCTGGGCGGCTAGCGA